TGCCCCTGCAGAGCCCGACTCCTAGCTAAAACCCCCTTGTAAGTAAGTTAGGCTTACCTTATTTTAATATATCTTATATTTAAAATTAGTATTGTTATTATGAACTTATAATAAATACTTGGGCTATTATTATGGGTTATATAAGTATTTTTTTTTACGCTTATATAATAATAATAATAGCTAGACTATTAATTAGTCTCGGCGAATAATAGACTAAACTCTAGTGGTGATAATACTAGGTTTCGTCGAAGAAAATTCTATTTAAGAAGCGAAGCGTTGTCTGAGTTCGGAATCACCACCTTTTCAAGTGAGTGCATAGTTACTTTCAACTTACACATAGATATGAAGTATTTTATATAAATTACGTGCTATGTGTGCATATTATCTGAATACTTGTTATCTATGCTAGATGAACGTTGTTATACATGTTTTCAATTATTTAAACTGTATATGTATTTTATATCTACGAAAATGTTGGGGTAAAACATGGATAGATGTAATAGGTGATGTGTGATAAAATGATGAGAGGCCTCGATGTCGTTGTTGTTGATCTAGTCATCTAGCGGAGTAAAGATGACGACCACGGACTCTTCTAGACAGTCCAGTGGAACGCTAGTAGGCTCGCAACCTGTAGGTGTTGTGAACGATGTGTTCACCGGTGTACTCCATCCCCCACATGGTTGCCTTTAGGACATTTATTACAGAGGAATCCCCTTAGTAGTAGTGTCCGTCCCGATGATGATCCTTAGGCTAGGTCCCTTATGATAGGTGTTTAGGGACGTAAAGTGAGGATAACGGGAACGGGTAATCGGGTTATTGTTGATTGATGAAATTAATAAACTTATTTATTGTGGGTTGAAAACCCTATGTGCTCACCAGGCTCCCAAGCCTGACCCACTCAGTTTTATGTATTACAGGTAGTGGCGCATGAGCATAGGTGTGATGTTTTGGACGAGGGATTACGGATATAGGCCTGTAGATATGAAATAATGTAGTAAGGCTTATATTGTACTGTTTATACTTTTGATCTGTACGAGCATGACATCCCGAGTCTTTTAATGAAATACATTTCTATGGAAATGCTTTTGATAAATCTTTATCATATTATTGTTTTGGGAAAAATTCCGCAACCCTTTTATTAAAAGATAACTCTGATTTTGAAATAAAGTATAAACAAAACCGGTCTTTTCTGACCGTGATTTTGGGGATGTCACATCACAATAATAATGTGTGTCACCTCCCCGATGTCCTCCTCTGCTTCCACCTCGTCCACACCCCCTAGCGTCCCCTGGAAGAGTTATCATCATAACCATGACTTTTTTGTGGTGACTTCGAGTCATCACCTCTTTGCTTTGACCTTTCAAGCCATTCTTCATGTGTGAGTAGGAGTCGTTGCTCCTCATTATCTTCATGTCCCTTGACTCATTGTTCATGAGTCTTTAATCTTCCGATGACTTCTTCGACGGTCATCGTTTCCAAATCTCCAAATTGTTCAATCGTTGAAGCAATTTGTAGAAACTTTGTTGGGACAGCTCTGAGTAACTTCTTGACGACATACGCTTCTTCAACCTTGTCACCTAAGGCCCGTATGTTGCTCACCACATTGTTCACCTTCACGGAAAACTCATCTACCGTTTCCGTCTCCTTCATTTTCAACACTTCAAACTCAGCCTTCAATGTCTGCACTTCTGTAGTCCTAATTCTATCCGCACCTAGGTACATCGTCTTGAGGGTTTCCCAAGCATCTTTTGCTGTTTCCTTCTCTGTGATGGACAACAACATGTCTTCCGGTATCCCCTGGTAGATAGAAGCGAGCGCTATCTTGTCCTTCCGGGCTTCAACAACTTCTCGAGGATTCTTGGGGTCGACAGCATCCCACACACCTTGGGCTTGCATAAAAACTTTCATCTTAATTGCCCATGTTGTGTAATTGGTTTTGGACAGCAACAGATATTGAAGTGTAATCAGACCATCTTTATTGGTTTTGTCACTCATCTCTTTCTTACGGGGTTGATATTTCGGCATTCACCAGGTTATGCTTTGATACCAAGTGTTGGGTTCAACCCCCTGCATACACAACTCAAAAACAAGAGAGACTAGTGCAGCTCTTCTGCTGCGTAATGTAACTGGGAAGGGAGAAAAAGAAGATACAAGAATTTATAACCATAACCTCTTTATTATTTGAGAAAACCTTCAATAAATACACACACTGAAAGATACGACTCCTACCTAGTTAAATAGCTAAACTGACCAACAAAATAGGAAAAGATAACAACCCATTCCTGGGTTTATGCCACCTGCACCCACGTTTCTTTGACTCTATCCTAAAAGAAAACAATAAATGACTAAACTACCCTTATACATTCGGATTACTCCAACATTTGTTGGGTTAATCCGTTAGTTCAACGGGTCATGGGTCGGATCTAGTTCATGATCCAGGAGTGTTTGATTGAGTCATGCTGAAATAAAGGGATTATACCCATGTTTTAGAAGGTGCACAACAGAAAAGGTCAAGTTTGACCAAGTTTACAGGAGATAACGAGATGTGCATGTGCATGTTTAGTATAAATAGGTGTCTTATTTCTTTTGTTCATTACCTCTATTTTTCATTGAATGTAGAAGCTTTCTTCCAGCAAGTTTACTTTCTAATACATCCGCGAGTAGTGTGTGTTGTGTGTGTGTTTATCAAGGGCCTGTGCCGAAAATTGGTATCAGAGCTTAGGGCTCGTGAAGAGGTACAAGGCCGTTTTGAGAGTCGACTTTAGAAGGGAAGGGGCCTTCGTGTAGCACCCGGTTCCTGGTACGTAAAATTTATCTTAGTGTTTTTCATTTTTAGCCTTGGACTCGGTGAGTTGTAGGTCCAACTCGCCGAGTAGGGACGGGGTCCGGAACACGTTTAAGTTGGCGACTCGGCGAGTCCATATTCTGTACTCGGCGAGTCCCCGTTGTCTGATGAAACCCTAAATTTCAAGGGTTTGCACCCTATTTAAGCCTTCTTATCCGCCCCCAAGCTCGCCACCTTCACCCTCAGAGCTCCCTATATCGTCCAACCCTTTTTCCTTGTGAGATTGAAGCATTTTGGTGTGTTTTCTTGAAGATTTAGAAAGGGAAGGAGAGTAGATCAAGAAGAGAAGAAGGAGGCCAGGCATATTGGTGTTATCTCAGTGATTTCCTTGAGGTATAACCCAATTTCCCTCTGTTTTCATGCTTATTGTCCCTTGTAGCTCCATGAAAGTCTTTCTTGAGCCTTTACCCAAGCTTGTTTGTGTATTAGAGTGGATGATAAGTTGTTTAGCCTCTAGATCTAGGCATGCTTGAGCTCCAGGAGCTTGGATCAACTGCCTTTATGGAATCATAGTGCATAAAAGCCCTAGATCTACTCTTTTGGTGCATTTTGAGCCCTAAAACCCTCATGGGTGTTTATTTACACGTAAAGTTGGAAACTTTACGTGTAAACCAGGCCCTAGAAACCCAGATCTATGAATGGAATGGGTTAGATTCAAGCAGAATCGCGTGTATAGTATTTGCATGTGGCAGACTCGATGAGTCGTTCATCTGACTCGGCGAGTCGAGTCGCGAGTCCCCAAGTTTCCCCCTTTTCGTGTTTGTGGGTTGGAGTAGTGAGTCACAGGGTGTGACTCAGTGGGTTGGAAGCCAGACTCACTCATGTAGTAACTCGGCGAGTCAATGCCATGAATCGGCGAGTTCAAGGCAATGTTCTTACCTCAAGAACGGACTCGGCGAGTTGTTCATACAACTCGGCGAGTCTAAGCATAGAGTGTTCTTTAGATGAAGACGAACTCGACGAGTTGTTCATACAACTCGGCGAGTAGAATGAAGAACGATTGGTCATCAGCTTAGAAGGAAAACTCATCGAGTCAATGCCAAACTCGACGACTAGAGACAGGATAGTGGTCAGACAAAGGGATAGGGACTCGGCGAGTTGACAAGCCAACTCGACGAGTCAGGTCAACTGGAAGTTGACTTTGACTTTGACTCATGGTTTGATTAAGGGTAAATGGTCAGTTTACCTTGAGGTCGATTAGCAGTATTTGACTAAGTGGTTGGTGGGAATTGCATCCGGAGGATTTCCGGAGTAGCAGCAGCAGCAGACAGACCGTTCCCACAAAGATCAACAGCTATGAGGTGAGTTACCTTCCAGTAGCTGTGGGTCTAAGGCCACAATGCCGACCCACCAGTAGGATATGTATGATTAGATGATTATCTCTGTGATATTCATCTAGGGTTGCTACTACCTGTGTTATGTTAATGTGTTAGTATGATATGATGCTATGTGCTAGTGGCAGTAGGGGGAGATAGTCTCCCAGAATACTGGTCGATAGGGCCGAATGGGCGATCATGCCCAGCCATGCTAGATAGACTATGTGATATATGTGTTATGTGGTAGTAGTAGGGGTGAAATAGTCCCCAGTATCCGGTCGAGAGGACCGAAGGGGAGGCCAGCTCCCAGATGTGCTAGTCAGTATCCGGTCGAGAGGACCGAAGGGGAGGCCCACTCCCAGATAGACTAGTCTGTATCCGGTCGAGAGGACTGAAGGGGTAGGTCAGGCACCCAGATATGCCTGACAATATATGTATGTTATTGATTGTATGGTATGTGGTATGTTGGGGGAACTCACTAAGCTTCGTGCTTACAGTTTTCAGTTTTGGTTTCAGGTACCTCTTCTTCGAAGGGGAAAGAGCTGGCGCGGTAGCGGCCCATCACACACATGCTCCGTATTCCGCACCATGAGATCTTCCTGGGGATTTGTTCTCTGACATTATTATGTTTTATGAAAATGTTTTTCCAAACATGCGATAGCTTTATAAAATGTTATGATCGGTAAACGTTTTATTTCGAATGTTTTGCTAAGTATATGTTTTCAAAAATGAAATTTTTGGCTCGTATTTTTGGGACGTTACACTTCGGGTTCATGGTTGCCATTATAGAAAAATTCGGGTGTTTGGCAATGGCTTCTTGGAGGTTCTAGTTGATACAGATGACAGAACATGTTGTGTGCAGCAGGTGGCTGCGGTTTATTATGGTGATTTTTTGGTGGAAACAATGCGATGTTGGTGAAGTAAGTCGCAGAGGATGGTTGTGGTTCTCAGTATAGCATGGAATGGGTGTTAATAGAGATGTAGGTGATCGTGTTGCTCATGATTTTCTCTAGTGCAGAATCTAGTGGCGGTGTTCTTGGTTGTTTTAACAGTGATTCAGTGCTCATGTTGCATTAATGGCTCAGTGGTGGTCGTGAAGACATGTGTTGATAGATGTAGCTCCGGCTGTAGAGGTTCGATCTCGGAGATGGCAGCAGATGGCTGTTGAGGATGCTTTCATAGTAGAGGCGCGAATAAAGTCAAGACCGCAAAGATGCAGTCTCCATCCTTGATCAGAAATTTACCAAATTAAAGAGAGCCTAACCAGAAGCAGAAAAGAGAAGCGGAAAGAAATCAGAACATGTGGGTTTTGATTTGGCTTGCTCACAACAGGTAAAAGAAAACAGAAAAAACAGGAGCTTTGTTTTCTTGACTGGTGGAAGAGGACTCTCGACAGGAACGGGTTAGATCGGAAAAGGTTGGGACTATCACAAACAAGACAAGGTGATGAATCCGGCGGTAGGTTGTGGGTATGTCACCGGAAAATGGAGAAAGTTACCGAAGATGCGTGAGAAAACAAATCGAAAAGATCCGTCAAAGCAGGTGGCTTTGGGTTTATTTCGTTTTGCAAGTGAAAGAAGACGGGAAAAGCGGGTTGCTTTGTTTTCTTGATCGGTGGAAGAAATCTCTCGTTTCACAAAAGTGTTAGGTGAAAACGGATTTTGTGGGGGGACAAACAACAGTCGAGTATGGAGGACTTTGGACGTGACCGAGGTGAAGGTCGGGTGTCTGGGAAAAGTCGGGATCGGATGAAGAATTTGGACCTGACCGAGGTGGAAGTCAGGTGTCCGGGAAAGGTCTTGAATCGAGATGAAAAGAGGGTGATTAAAGACTGCTGTGAACAAATGGTGTGAACAACCAATTAAGGGGGTGATTGTTGGGTTAATCGGTTGGTTCAACGGGTCATGGGTCGGATCTAGTTCATGATCCAATAGTGTTTTATTGAGTCATGCTGAAATAAATGGATTATACCCATGTTTTAGAAGGTGCACAACAGAAAAGGTCAAGTTTGACCAAGTTTACAGGAGATAACGAGATATGCATGTGCATGTTTAGTATAAATAGGTGTCTTATTTCTTTTGTTCAGTACCTCTATTTTTCATTGAATGTAGAAGCTTTCTTCCAGCAAGTTTACTTTCTAATACATCCGTGAGTAGTGTGTGTTGTGTGTGTTTTTATCAAGGGCCTGTGCCGACATTTTAATCTTTATAATACATAATGACCTTTATTTTTTAAATTTATTTATTATTTTATATTATTACAATTTTAAAACAAAAATATGGTCCACCTATAATGGTGATTTTATATGGTGTCCCATAGTGATACCAACAACTAACAACTAATGTTGATAAAAATCAATCCAAACCCAACCTTGAACCCAATCCAAAATTAATGGATTGTGTTGAGATTTTTAACATATTTAAGTTAAACTGGTTAATTTGTCTAACACATTTAGTTAAATGAGTTGGGTTGAGTAAATAATATTAACATATTTTCAACCCGACAATATATTTAACTTTATATAATATTTAATATAATAATTATTTAAATATTATTTCATATTAACTAAGTGTTGATTTATAAATTATTCATGTTTTTAAAAAATGCAATGGGTTAACCTATTTATTTAATATATTGGGTTGGAAAATATATAAAAATGTGACAACCTATTTATTTAAAATGTTGGGTTGTATTGGAAATATCAATTTATTTAAACAAATATATTGGATTGGGTTGAACTGATCTTCAACCCAATTAATAAATAGATTGAACCTGAATCCAACCCACCCAACTCAAATCGATTCATTGCTAGCTATACGGCAACTCCTAACTTTTTTATTCTATTATGATGCCAGTACTTAAATTTCTTTCATCATCCTTACTACCCACAAACGTACTATTTCATTGTCTCCCTCCCGCCCCTCTCTTTATGGTCTCTAAATGCTCTCCAATGACACATGACACACATCTCATTAAACTCTCCGATGCTCTTAATTTATTTACGTTCATATTGGATTTTTGTATGAGCCGTGACCACTAACAATTCTCTCGGTATTCCATCGGATATTAGGTCTCCTACATCTAATCTAACACTTGATATTTATGATTCCTTCTACAATAAACATTAGTTTCTGTTGATTTTTTAACTCTACACCTTATGACATGTAACTTTATTATAATCTCATTTATAACAAAAGCAAAAGCAATACCCTTAGCACATTATTTAACAACAACAAGACACAACAATCCAAATGCACATATCATCATCAATCAAAATAATCCGGATCCTTAGGCTTGGGTACCGAGGTCCGAATACAATCATGAGTTTCAGATCCCATTCTTTTATTCCTCCTTTGTTCACTACCAACACCATTCTCATAATTATAATTCTGTTTCACCTTCAACATTCCAACCCACTTTCTCCTTCTATACCGTTTCCAAGCCGACTGAATAAAACAAGCCGCCCACGTCCTCCACTGGTGCGAATGAACCCTAAACGTATGCCTCAGCTTCTTATTATGCATCTTCCGAAACCGCTTCGCGACAAATTTCAAATCCTTAGAGGAAAGCGCGTACGCTTCAACCTCAGCTACTGACGTGACTGTACGCGTGGACAACGGAAGCGTCTTCGTTGTCCGCGGGTCCAACGCCCACGTCAGCAACTCCTCACCGCAAAAATCCCCCGGCCCAATCCGGCACTCATTCCAAAAACCCGCCCGCCCGCCATCCGTAGTATACGAATCTAGATTCCCATGCATGATGAATAGCATTTCGTTTGTGGGGTCGCCTTCGCGTAACAAACAAGTGCCAGGTGTGCATGTGACAGGTGTCAACCGTTCGCAGATTGCATCCACCGTGCGCTCATCCATTTGGTCAAAGAGTGGGACGCGTCTGACTAATTCGATACAGATGTATTGTTTGATGTCTCGTTTGATTTCTAATGGAAGTTCGTCTAGAATCGCTTCTTCATCGACTTTCCCGTGTTTAATCCATTTGTGAAGATCGTGTTTTCGGATACGCTCACGCATTGCGTGTGGTAATTGTCTGTGGTTCATCCATAACTCTGTGTCCATTTGTTGGATTCTGTATTCTTCTAATCTTTCGGTTCTTGATTCAAGATATGTCTCCATGGTGCCGATAACCATGGCGAGAAGTAGTAATCCTGTGAGGGATATGAGTATGCAAAAGTGTGTTTCTGCCAGAAATGTACTTGCCTGGACTTCTTCAGCTCGAGAGCTGAAGAACAAACATGAGAGAGAAAGTTAAAGTTTTTAGATATGTTAATTGAGAAAAATTAGGGTTTCGTATTTTGTAATTGGGAATTACCTTAGTGCTCGGAGGCCCCACCAGAGACAATAAGAGTATTTTGTGAAGAAATCTAGGGATGCAACTCCGTAATTTACAGCATCAAAGATCATTCCGTATTCGTATGACTCTGTGTCGCGTCCACATATATTTGAGATGTTGCTTGATTGATACCATGATGCTCGACCTGGATCATCAAGGTAACGACAGTTGAAAAACTTCTCCCCGCATCCTGGTTCTTCAAGATCACACACCTCTTTCCAGCATATTCCTTGTCTTTCGATTGATAGAAGGTAATAGCAAGCTCCGAACACCTTCAAAATGTTAGAAGATTTTCGTCAAACACTTGGTGTGCATGGTGTTATTGTTTGGTTCTGAAGAAAAGGAGAAGAGATATACATGAGCTGCTAACATGAAGAGGATGATATTGTAAACAGCTCCAGCGATTGTCGATTCAGCGACGACGCCGGTTACTTGTTGTATATGAGATGAAAGTTTGAATACAAGATAGAGTCTGATAAAGAATTGGAACATGATGAAGTATAGTACGCTTGTCTTCGTGCTTAGCATTTCAGAATTATCAAAAATCGGGAGCCATGTCAGGATCTGAAACAGTTTTTAGTTAATTCCGATAAACGTGAAGTGAAAAGGTAATGTGATGATGGAAGAACGACAAGTGTTACCTGTGGAATAGGAAGAGATGCCAGGAAATCAAGAGTGAAATCTCTCTTGAGATACCTCTGAGAGATTTTGGAAGGGTCGAGAACAAGCTCTCCTCTTCCAAGTAGACGAGTTGAAGGTGCATCGTAAGCTGTTCTGAATCGAACGTAAATCTGAATCAAGTAGAAAACGTCGACAATCGATCGAATGATTGTGAGAGTTAATTTCAGAGAAGTATCTTCGCCCATGCACATCTCGTCGTCGTTCACTTCAGGCAAGTAGAAGAACAGAGGATCAATAGCGATCGAAATTAGGGCTGCAACTAAGAAATATCTGTTCCATTGCTTCACATGGTCTCCTCGAGGATCAAATATACGTCCTTCGATTTTTTTGTAGTCCTCTGAGAACACTCTGGTAAGTCTTCCACTTATAACACGCCGGTTTGTCGTCGCCGGTGGAGATTGTTCAATCTCAAATCTGTGAAATTGAACAACGATCAATCACATTAACAAATAAACATTAAACAAACAGACATTCACAAACCTTGAAAGTTTTGTTGACTCGTTTTCCATTTTGCTCCGGGCGACTGATCGATTCTGCTAACTAAACTTTATCTGCGACGTTAACTATATTTTCACATGAATAAATGAAACTCCTACTTGATCATTCATAGCTTAATTTCATGATTAAGCAGCACTTAGATGTAAAGGAAGCATAAATTACATCGTTGAGATTTCTAAAAGACGAGTGTCAGCATTTTATACACGACCATTTTGGAAGATCGTGAGCTTATGAAGATCCATAACGTTGTCTTCTAATTGCATTTATTATTTGTAAACCTCCTGCAAATCTTTATTCTTTTCTTTATCGTTTTCCTTTTTCTAAGATTTGAAGTACTTAACAATTATTTATGTTTTGGCGCCATTATATAACATAAAATTCTTAAAAACAAGTTACAAAATACAAATAGAAGCAAATAGATTGAACAAAACACCACAAACAAAATTCAATATCCCTACTCCATCTCCATATCCATTGATGACAAAATCGAAAAACTTTCTAAAAACATACTCTCAAACATCAAAATTCATGAAAGAAATTGCAACAAGATTAGATTAGAACTGAGGTCTCTGTTTAGCTTCAGCAACAGTCACTCGGATATTTCTACCATCAACACTCTGCAGAAGAAAATCAAAACAAGATTCAGAACAAACAAAATTTTAACCAAAATCAAAGATTATGAAAAAACAATACTTACAGCACCATCCAATGATTCAATAGCACTATTAACCTCATCAGCAGAACCAAAAGTCACAAAACCAAAACCCTTTGATCTTCCACTATCCCTATCATAAACAACCCTAGCTTCCATAACATTTCCTTGTTCTTGAAACAAAGTTTCAAGAGCCAAATTGTCCACACTCCATGCAAGATTTCCAACATAAACTTTATTTGTGTTGTCCAGATTTCTCCCTCCACCATACCCACCACCACCACCACCACCACGGCCACCATCACGGCCTCCATCTCTTGACCCTCTGAAAGGAGACTCGTCTCTACTTGGTGGTGGCCCTGAGTTTACCCTAAGTTGTCTCCCCTCAAGTTCCTGAAATTTCAGTACATTCTTACTATGACTACATGAAAAAACAGGTTACAAATTGTCTAAATTCATGGAAGAATGTGAATCGATGGAACTTACATAACCATTGAACTGTCGAGTAGCTGCCTCAACTTCTTTAACGGAGGACATGGTCACAAACCCGAAACCCCTGCTTCTTCCGGTGATTTTGTCATATACAACCTATATACATTAATCAGATTTAGAGAAAAAAAAAAAAAAAAAACGAACAGATCTGAAGTTTAGAATTAGGTTTAAAGGAGTAGATTATACCTCAACCATTTCAACATTCCCAGCTCGTTGAAACAGTCCAGCAAGAGCTGCACTATCAACATTCCACGGCAAGTTTCCGACATAAACTTTAAGGTCGGGGGAATAATTCGTCCGCTGGTCTTCATCTCCGTCGCTTGATAAATCCTCATCCAAACCGTAGGGTGAAGCAACAGCTAAATTTCGGACGAATTTGGACGATGGAGTGGCTTCAAAGAGCTTAATCGAAGAAGGTATGGAGAAAAGCTTGGGAAAAGGATTAATGGAGGAAGGAAAGTTGCAGAGAGCAGAAGGAGAACTGGTTTTAGAGATTGAGGATAAGGTTGTTAACGAGAGAAGTTGAAAGGAAAGCGTAGAGGAAGCCATTGTTAAGGTTTAACGGAGGTTTTAGTAAATTCGAAGGGGATAAGGAGGAGGAGAAGGAGATAAGAGATATTTTCAGTAGCAAGGTGACGATTTATATAGGTTAGTTTGGTTCCGGGTGTATGTGTATGGGTTGACCCGACCCGAGAATATCTTATCTCAATATCTCATCAATCTATGATTGGCTATTTGGTTTGCCAATTGACTCAATTCACGAGCATCATCACGCAATGCAAACAGTTCTAGATTCTGGACATGATCTTCAACCTCCTGTAATACATTCCTCTGAGTTTCAGACATTTTTTCAGCTTCACAATCATCTTTCAATCGAGATAAACACGAATAAACATCGACGTTTTTACCAAAATTTTTCCGTTTCATCTCTTTAACCAAATTCAACCCATCGTCTATTCTGTTAACTGTAACATACCCTTTAATCATGGTGACATAGGTAACCAAATCCGGCTCGATGTTTCTTCCAGTCATCTCTACAACAAGCTTCTGTATATCCTCCATTTTTCCAACCACAGTGTACCCATTAATCATCGTGTTATAAGTAATCAAGTTAGGTTCAACATTTCGTGCCTTCATCTCCTCCAAAAGCTTCTCTGAATCCTCCATTTTCCTAACTTTAGCATACCCGTTGATCACTGAATTATAAGTAACCAATGTGGGCTCCATCTCTCGTTCCTTCATCTCCATTAAGAGCTTCTCTACCTCTTCCATTTTCTTCGCCTGAATATATCCATTAATCATCGTGTTATAAACAGCAATATCAGGCAAATGATTTTGACTTTTCATATCTTCGAAGAAACGATTTGCAGTCTCCATTCTTGATGAACGACAGAAACCCGAAATCATGAGTGTGTAAGTGTGTTTAGATGGAACTACACCTTCAGACAACATTTTATCGAAAAACTTCTCAGCCATGGTGTACTTCTTTTCACTTATGATCACCTCTAACATAGAATTATACGACTTGATCGTCCTGGGCACACCCAATTCTTCCATTTTCGAGAATATTTTCACACAATTCTTTACGATGTCCCATTTTCGATTAACTTTTGAGTAACCATTAATTAGAAGAACAAACAGATCTTCATCATAATCAATGCCCTTTTTAGACATGCCCAGCAGAATCCGCTTAGCGTCCTCAAGCCTTCGATCTATACACAAAATTTCAATCATTTTGTAATGTGTTTCTCTGTCGTGCTTAAACCCAGATCCCTTCACCCACTGGAAAAATTCCAAAGCACGATTAGGGTACCGATTCAGCACACTGGAAACGAGATTATGATCAAACAGGGGAACTAGATTCCGAACCGAGGACTGTAAACGGGTCGACCATTCGTCATCTTCCATCATTATGCAAATTGCATCCCTAACCTTGTCTAGGTTGGGATTGTGCTCACCTGGGATTCGTAATTTTCCATTTTCGATTGCCCCGGCTTGTGATCCAGAGGTTGCAATGTACGTTTTCGGGTTTGGGGTTTCTTCATATGGGGGTTTATCTGCAGCAGATGAATAGAAACGATGGAGGGGTTTAGAGATTCTATGGAAGTAGTATTTTAGGAGTTGTGGTTTTGACAGAGAGATATAGAGAGAAGCCATTTTCGGTGATTTTGCTCAAGATGGTGGGACTGGGAAGGTTTAGGGTTTTTGTACAGAGTTCCAACTCATGTAACGAGTTGACTCAACCACGAGAGTGTTGACTCCCTTCCGTGGTATTTTTCCTCCCTTTTCTTTAAAGGAAATTATGAGGTAAAAACTAGTTTTTTTTGTTTTAAGGGATAATGACTTAAAATTAGTGTAAATTATTGAAATCGTCTATGTGGTTTTTTGTCAAAATTGCATGTTTGGTTCTTAATTTTTTTTCACTTGAATTGTCCTTGTGGTTTAATTTTGTGCATTTTTCGTCCTTATGGTTTGATTTTGTTGCATTTTTCGTCCGTTAGGGACCAAACATGTAATTTTGATCAAACCACAGGGAGGATTTCAATAATTTACTCTTAAAATTATAATCAACTTTTAATTTTGTTCATATTTAGTCATTAATTTTTTTTCGTTATTTGTTTGTCACTGAACTATTGAAACTGTTCGCATTTTATCCTTATAACCGGTTGTTACCGATCATAAAGATAAAATGTGAACAATTTCAATAGTGAAGTGCCAAATAGATAATGAAAAAAAGATTAGTGACTAAATATGAACAAAGTCGAAAGTTCATTTCTTTAATAAAAAGTTCAATGACTAAATGTGAACAAACTTTCTCTTGTATTATGTTTTAGCAAATTATTTATTTTTGTTAAATTCTAAAAATATTTGTTGATGAAGAAATCTATGGAAAAAAATCCCTCGAAAAATATATTAAAAAAACGATAAAAACGACACCGAAATAAAAAACCAATGGTTTGGTATTTTCCAAAATAAAAAATCAAAATTTTCAATCTGATTTTGGTTTTACAAAAATTCAACTTTTGAATTTTCATATCTAAATCTTTCCCCGTTTTTATAATTGAGAAATGATTATAAAACCATAAAGGGAATAAGAAAGTGCTCAATTCGGAATTTTTCTATCTAAAACACCCCTTAACATGTGGCATAAACATTTTGCTTCAATTAGAAAAATTCAAAAAATCTTCAATTTTTAGTTTCGTTACGGACTGCATTTGACAAAAATTTTGGTAGAAATTGTCAATTTCAAAATTCTGTTAAAGGCGGTCCATGAACGAAGCTAAAAATTGAAGTTTTTTTGGATTTTTCGGATTCAAGCAAAATGTGTATGTCATAAAAGCCCTTAAATTTTTAAGTTTTTATCGGTTTTTCCCTTTGTGATTTTTATTTCAATTAAAACCTAACATTTGAATAAGTTTTATCATAAACTAGCTGGGGTGCCCCGCTCCGCGGGGGTCGGTTAAGACCAGTAAAGTATGTTGCTATTGTCTGCAATTCACTCATTTACAAATACATAATAGTCAAATATGTTGTAGTATGGCTCCAGTTGTTTTGACTATTTATAGCAACAAATAATACAGTCTATGTAACAAATTATTACAGTGAATTAGCTTTTGTAAGTCAAAACTTACAACAGTGAAAGTACATTGTTTGTTATCCCCTGATACTAATTATAGTTTCACTTACAATTGTTATCCAAAAGGTATGTCATAAGAACCGTTCATGTGCAAAATCTCACCTCTCCCAATAAATGTTGGGAATCCCTGAATAAAATTGTACAAACCAGTAAAAAAGAATGTAGAAGATATTCAATTACAGGAAAAACCATATCCAAACAGAAAGTCAGGAATTAAGATTACACTCACCAGTACTTTAAATATGGTTGCTATTCTTAAAGGCAGTATGTAGGGATCAATTTGCAACTGTGGGAGAATAACCAATAGGTAAAGGCTAAATTTATAAATTGATGTTCTTAATCATATCTATCAGTTTTACCCATCATAGTTCAAACTAAATAATAACATCATAAGATGCAAGAAAGAAGAAAACACATGACTTATTGTTATTTTCCTAGTTATTACCTTTACGAAAGTATTCACTCACCTTTTTGACAGCATCCTTTCTATTATACACTTGGGCATTTTCACAAACAATTGGCATGCATTCTCTATGTATTAGAAACAAATAATAAAATGGATAGAAAGAAACCTCGCAACAAACATCAATCTGTGGACGTTTACCCAAATCAATTTTTGTAAGCTTATCAGATATGAAATTGTGTTATACAGTTCCAGTAACACATAACCACGAACAGTGTCAAGATTGTAACCTTCGCGCCGACCTCCAAGGGGAATAATGAGTTTTCTAAAAAAGATTAACAGGTAAGAAGACTCAAAACATTTAAAATCATCAACATGTAATAATAAAACCGGAGGAGAGAAAGTTGGTACCTAAAAATACAGATAAATAGAAGATGATGAGAAGTAGAATAGGTGGAGGAATATTTGGTGAAAAAAATAACCCTACAGTTTTATAAGTGTAGCTGAGATTTACCTGGCGATAGCTGCGGATCGATAGATCCATGCATCTAGCTTCTTCTGCAATTGCAGGTATGCAATCTGGTTTTGTGAATTATAGCCAAATCTAATGTTGAGTTTAGATTAGAAGTGAAACCATGTGGGTGGCTATGTCAAATATGGTGAGAAAATCAATCAAGAAAAAGACACAAAAAACAATCATTTTTAAAAATTCAAATAAAAGAATTGTTAACGTGCACTCAACCTGAACAGTGGAAACCATTCGGCTGATTCTTGTAGGGTGAAATCAAATATAAAAATGACAGTTAGAAGGAGGGAAGAAACACTAAAGGATTAATATTTGTTTTTAACAAAAAGGCATGTCTAAACAACACAAATTATGCCTATATATATATATATATATATATATATATATATATATATATATAATATATATATATATATATATATATATACACACATTAAAGGCTGAAATATGGAGAGAGATACAACCTTGAATAACTAAACAACATAAAAATATTAGTGTTTCTGTATATATTTTGAGCTGCAACTTATGTTGTTTATACATGCCTTTTAGTTAAAAACAAATATTAATCCTTTTTTTTTTGCCACTGATAACACATTTTTTTTAAATGCAACACTATCATATACTAAACAACCAAAAAGAAAAAAAAAAGATACCTATAAGGGACAACATAAGGAGTACCTGATACCACCTCCAACATGAACGACCATCCTTTTCGCAATTCTTGCGTTTGACCTAAATACAAATCTGAATGATATTAAATTTGTGGCTCACACACATACACACAACCAATAAAATCAATGGAATATGTCAACAGGAATTATATCTTTTGGTCCCTGTGGTATATCGTCTTTTTTCTTCTTGGTTCCTATTTCAATGTGATCATATAGTTAATGAAGATTCGTTTTTTAAATATATCCAAGAAAATCTATATAGCACACTACAGGGACCAAAACTGTAAATTAGGATATTAATACTTGAATGGCACGGTTCCATTTTTTCCGACATTTTAGGATATTAAGAGCTTTGGCTGCTGCTATGAGTGGGAATTTGACTCCCAAGCCGTCCATTAATCAAGTGCTCCATAAACAACTTCTTTCTCATTTGGCAACCCACAAACCTGTAAATTCACAAATCAAGTAACTTTAAAACTGAATTTACTATAATCCCAAAAATAAAATTACACTATCCTCTTAAATATCAGAAAATGGCCTAATAGCATTTTTGGTCCCTGTAGTTTTTAATTTCAATAATTACATTTTTGGTCCATACAATGTATAATTTGCACTTTAACTGTAGTTTTTAGTTTGGGGTAAATACAGTGAATCAACCTGATTAAGAAAAAAAATGAAAGTTTTAGACCAATGTTAAATTTAAATTGTTTTTTTTTTTCCAAAATTTTAAATCTTGTTATTGATTTATAAAAATCTTGCCTCGTTAATTATTTTTCGTACCCAATGTATCTTTCCTCTTTGTTTCAATAGTTCTTAATACAATCATCGTTAGTTTATCATTTCATGCTAAAGAGATGGGAAAGAGAACTTACTTAAAGATAGGCTATATCTAGGAAAGAACTACTTGACCCAAGTCTTCAATTGGGTAGCCTCTGTATCTTAACATCCCTTTATTAGATAAATAAACTGATGTAAGGAGAAAATAAATAAAACCAGTTATATCATTATACTAACCATTTATAGCTTCACCATTTCCTTATGTAATTGCAAGGAATTCTCTGTCTCTCCCATAACATGTGAGAGGACCTACAAGACATAGCACAAAACATAACTCACTGTATCATACTCATACATAAGTAAGTCAATCATTACAGTGTGTAAACATTTTAAATCACAATGATGTAATAAATAAGAGTTGGGAAGCATACTGCGAATTTCAGGGGGTGACATAAGAGGGTATGAAAGAATAACTGAGCAACATATAATGGCGATTAACAGTAGATTGAGTAACATTTCTTTCAACAACCCAAAAAAATGTATTTGATTGAGAACCAACGACAGATTCTTCAACAAATTGGCAGCTTCTGTACAAAAATAGATTAAGGATATAGAGTTTAGTGTTCCTTTCACAGAAATTCAGCTTTTAAACTAATCCATCAAAAATATGCGTTATAAAACAAAGAAAAAATGAAAAGGGAACATCAACAATAACAGGAATTTTATCAAACAGTTGGTGGGCACAGGGCATTGCAGTGTTACATACCAGATGGAGAAACGGTGATATAGACAGAAAACGAAAACTCAAGTAGGAACATCCAATCTATAAAATCAGTCGAGTCGGTGTGAATAAGAAACAAACGATCTTAGAAATGTCAAACCGAATTAAGAACCAAACACAAATTACATAGCGATGGCAGACGAATTCCATGTGAAAACAGCTGCAGATGTTGAAGGCGTGAATCGGGACTTTCAGCGTCGACGACCCATTCTTGGTCGATCGTTATTTTAAGCATACATTACCACCGCCGCCACATATTGAATCTTTATAATCGAGTTGACAACGGTCAAGTGCCGTTGCTGGTTGGGGGCTTCCTCCTTCCGTGTGATGAGGTGGTCTCCGCCTAGGGCGGCGCCGACGACCACTGTCACAGACGGTCGGTCCATGGCGGGTAAATGGAAGATGATGAGAAGTAAAATATGTGGAGGAAATCATCGGTGACAGTTTTGCAGCAAGAGTAGTAGAAAGTTGGAAGCGGGCGAAGAGTTTTCAACAGCCTCAGTGGAGGTGGGTGGGAAAAATCAAAATCGCCTCTATATAAAACACGTCCGATGGCTGTTCGTCGGGTTCTTATGCAGTGGCGGACATCGACACCGAAGAGGAGATATCGACGAAGTTTGGGGAAGAGGAGCGGTAGCAGACGAATAGGAAGATGAGAGACAGAGAATAAGTCAGTGAAAAGGTAAGATGAAGCGGTGATGGAGACGTGGCAGAAAACAGTGAAAATGATTCGATGACGATGCGAATAAGGATGTAGAGTAGGACACATAGCACGACACTAACTTGATTATGAGTACGTCTGGTGTACACATCGACCCAACGACCCAGTCTCATCCATAATCAGAGGACCAAAACTACAATCTCATCCATAATCAGAGGACCAAAACTGTCAAATCCTTAGCAGTTTAAGGATCGACAATTTTAATATACAGTATAATAACTTTTATCAGGTTTCCAATTGGCTTGTTGGTCACCTTAACTCCCCCAATACCCCCCGTTATCCTCTAAATTGACAAGCAACAACAAAAGTCGCAGCACCCATGTAATCGAGCGCCTGCACACAGTTGATCAACAGAGAAATTAGAAAGATGGGGATGAATTATTTATTTGGATTTATTGTCGGCCCCTAGTCCTTCTCCAGATCGAGCGTTGCACATAGTGTATGTGTGTGTTTTTGTTTTTCTTTTGATCGTTCCAAAATCACAGCGACTGATGCCGCCATTGGTTTCTTCTTCGATGCCCCTTTCTTCACTGACCTTGATAAACTTGGCTAGGGCTATTAATCGGATCTGTAATAACACACAAACTGTCACAAACAATTCTTTATGTTTTATCGTGTATTTCTATGTCTTTGTGTGTTTTCCTTGTTGAAATCAGACATGGGAGGAGATATACGGGAGATATAGAGAGAAAGGGAGAAAGGGAGAAGACACATCCCCCTGTCGCCGGAGAAGAAGACACACCCCTGTCGTTGATTGCACACATCTCACCCATGGAAACAAAATTACTCTTGTTGTGAGATACCACCTCCTTCTTTATCTAAAATTACTCTTGATGATTACCGGGTCTGCATACCGATTTATCCAGTCTTCATCTAAAATCAATTTTAACAAAGCACCTCTATGAGTTCATCCAGTTTGAGCTCATCCAATTCTTCATATGATTTCTTCAATTTTGAATATACTAGTTATTGACCTTCAATCTTCAATTTTGAATACACTAGTTATTAACCTTCAATTTCTTTAACACACCTGCAGATATAGATAGGGGCCACAATACACACATTGAAGATGTATAAAATGTAAGTCGATTCAACTGAAGGGGAGGGGGTTGTGATTTTAAAAGGGTTTGAAATGGTTTGCATTTGATTGTGAATGTGGAGAGAAAGAAAGATCTTTTCCTAAAAGATGATGAAGGGTTTATAAAGGAAGGATATGTGGGTCTAGTACTCTAGTGTAATGAAGCCGCGTAGCATTCAGGTTGCTATGGTAACCGGCTATTATGAGGCAAAACTGTTAAAACTTTTAAATGAAAAAGCTAGTGCAAAATACGAGGCTTTAATTAAGGGTAAAACCGATAAAAACTTAAAATTTTGAGGGTTTTTATGTCATTTTTCCTAGAAAAATTTTCAAATTGAGCGCTTTCTCATTCCCTTTTTTTGGTTTTATAATCATTTTCGATTATAAAAAAGGAGAGAGGTTTAGATATGGAAATTCGAAAGTTAAATTTTTCATATTATGCGGATTTGAAGACCGAAGTGACCTCGAGTATTTGAAGTTTATGAAATGATTCGATTGGAGATTCATAAGTGATTTCGGTTCATGATGGGTTTGGACTTATTGAAGATTTTTGGAGTGTGCATAAATGCTTAAATTTTGGGTAATTTATTGGAGAATGAGAGTGTTAGTGTGTGTTAATTATGTAGATTTAGATCTAGATCCTTTTTTGTAAACACTTTTCATAATAGAATGCATCTCTTAAACACCCAAATCACTGTGTTCTTTGTGTGTTCTTTAATTCTGCATGACAAACCAATTGTCATAATTCACATCAGTTAGAATGATTCATTTTTTTTTTTTGTAAAACCAAAATCAGATTGGAAATTTTGATTTTTTTTATTTTGGAAAGTACCCAACTATTGGTTTTTTATTTCAGTTTTGATTTTTCGTTTTTGTTTTTATTTCATAGATTTCTTTATCAACAAATCTTGTTAGAATTTAACAAAAATAAATAATTTGGTAAAACATAATACAATAACAAGTTTGTTCACATTTAATCATTGAACTTTGTCAAAGGGAACGAACTTTCAACTTTATTCACATTTAGTCACTAATTTTTTTTATTATCTATTTACCATTGAAGTATTAAAATTGTTCGCATTTTACCCTTATGATCGATAACAACCGGTCATAAAGGTAAAATGTGAACAATTTCAATAGTTCTGTGGCAAATACATAACAAAAAAACATTAATGACTAAATGTGAACAAAATCAAAAGTTCATTACCCTTTCAAGTCATTATCTTTTTTTTTTTAAATAAAATATTTTAGGGCAATTTGGTAAATGAAAAAGACGAAGAACAAAGAGCATTTGCTTCTCATGCGTATGGGCTAAAAATGACATCAAACGTCCGACTATGGCATTTGCATAATTGCATCTCATACGTATGGGCTAAAAGGCCCAAGAAGAGATTTGTTTGTTAATAATATTCGTGAACTCACCATTATTAGGTTGTGGGATGTGGATTACTAAATTAAAATGTTTCTGACATTTTAAGGATATTATATAATATTTCTTCTGGTATTTGATCAAGTTTAGAAGTTAAATAAAATTTCAGAAGATAGAAAACGGTTCAAGGATCTTTTGATTAAAGTTTTGCTTAAAAATGCAAATTTTAATTTCTTTAGATTTTTTAATAAAGTCTTGTACAATAATATTTTAGATATGGTAAAATTATTTGTAATGTAATGGTTTGAATTGATTTTCGTTTTCATAAAATTAAATAGTACCCTCATTAAACTTCATAGACTTCACTGGATTTTAATATTATTTTTATACATGCTGTACAACTATCAATATTTTTCTATATTGTAATGAGTTTATACAAAGCTCAATAGAATATTACAAAAGCTAATGTATATATATATATATATATATATATATATATATATATATATATATATATATATATATATATATATATATATATATATATATATATATAGATTTAAAAATACATTTTTTTTTTCTATTTAAGAGTTTGATGACTATTAAAC